CAATAAGCTGTATTGTGATGAACAGAGAAAAGATTGAAATTGTCAAAGATTTTGTATTACTCGGATCCACAATCAACACCCATGAAAGCAACAGTCAAGAAATCAGACATCATACAGCACTAGACAAATCTGCTGCCAAAGGACCTCTTTAAAGTACCAAAGAGCAAAGCAAAAGCCAAGGTATTTTCAATAGCCTCATATGCATGTGAAAGCTGGACAATGAATAAGGAAGACAGAAGAAGAGGCGATCCTTTGAGCTGTGGTGTTGAAGAATAGTGAAATTACCACGGACTGCCAGAAGAATGAGCAAATCTGTCCTGGAAGCAGTGCAGCCAGAATTCTCCTTGGAAGCAAAAGTGGCCAGACTTTCTCTCACCTACTTTACGCATGTTGTCAGAGGGGACCATTCCCTGGAGAAGGATAATATGCTTGGCAAAGTAGAGGGTCAGTGAAATAGGGGAAGGCCCTCCACAAGATGGATTGACACAGTGCTCAGGTATAGCAAGGTATAGCAAGGATTGTCAGGCTGACTTACGACCTGGCAGCGTTTTGTTTTGTGTACGCAGGTTCATCACGCATCGGAGCTGACTCAACAGCACCTAAGGACAACAGCTCTTTCCAGACCCCGAATTCATTCAGTCATCAAATATTTGTAAGTACGTACAATGTGTCAGAAAACAATTCTGAATACTTCATCTGCAAAGACAACCCTGCATCTCAGCTCTCTCCACTGCTGCTCACCCTGACTTCCTGTCCTGCCACTTGCCCTTGGTGTGAATGCTTTATGTTTAACCACTGCTTCTTTCTTCCTCCTCCTCCTCAAGGAAGAATTTGAGATAAAGCATGAACACAATCCCTATCAAGCTACACATGTGTGATCTTACAAGAGGATAAGTTTTCAGAATGGGAGGTAAAGACTGAGTCTGAGTGGGGGGCGTAAGTGTGTGTATGTGTGGGTGCAGTATAGTAAATTACTTAGTGTGGCTTTTCTAGCCATAAGTCTTTGTAAACTCTGGTGGAATTTGCTGTGAGCAACTGAGGAGCTCCTGATTGTAAAATTTATCCACCTGGAGTATTTCTGTTGGGCATAACACAAAGCAATGTTCTGGGAGGTTCCTGCTCTCTCTCAGGTGCTTAGAATTCTGATGTCATGATTGGTTAGTTTGGCCACTCTGTCAGGCTCAAAAGGAGGCCTAGAGGCAGAAGAAGTCTCTCTCTCTGACTGCTGGTTGAAAAAGACATGCTGCTGAAAGAGACACACGCTCCTGAAAGAGACACGCGCTGCTGGGAAAGAGATGCAAGAGACACACATTGCTGAGTGAGACATCGAGGGATACTCACTGTTGGGAGAGAGATTTGAGAGATTGTTAGGAGAAAGACTGTGGGCTGGGAGAGAGACTGAGCATTTTTCCTGAACTTGAATTGTAGCCTGGTGCTTCCCTAATAAACCCCGTAATCTGTGAGTTCTGTGTGGCCACTGCAGTGAATTATTGAACCCAGGAGAGAGGTGGTGGGTGCTTTGGGAGGAACAGTTGGTGAAAGGGCTGGAAGGAGGCAGCATGTCTGGCCTTGCAGTAATAGGCCTTAGCCTGTTGATGGTGAGTCTGTCTTTCTCTTGTGGGGTTAGAGGAGGTCAGAACACATGGCCTCCTTGCCCTTTTAGCAGTGGGTGTGTAAGTACCTAAGGGCTGGGGATATGGAACTACATAGGCAATATTTCCAGCACAGTCACTTCTATTGTCAGGGACTGTTTGCTGATGACAAGAGCATCCCTGCAGAGCATAAGAAAGTCCAGAAAGGGAAATATGAAAGCTGAGCTGGAGGTGGAGGAGCCTTAAGATCTGTGGAATGAAGGTGCAGAAGGAGGATCAGAACCCTAACATCCCAGCGGAGCACCCGGTGGTGTGGACAGCTGCTAAGCAACAGTTTGGAGGTTGCATCCACCCAGAGGTGCCTTCAAAGAAAGGCTTGGTGATCTATTTCAGAAAAGTCAACCACTGAAGACCCTATGGAGCACAGTCCCACTCTGACACACAGTGAGGTCACCATGAGTTGGAACTGACTTGACACTAGCTGATCAAACTCCCAGCAGAGAAGCCCAGGGCTGATGAAGGAAAATAAGGACAGTGTGGAAGGAGGGACAGGTGCTAAGGAGGATATAGAACTTGGGAGATGCTAAAGGCAGCTTAAAAGAGATAATGAGGATGGTCCCAGTGAAAAGAGAGAACAAGAAACCAAGAGGAAGCAGGCTAAAGTAATTAGCTGAGTTTATCAAGCCTTTTATGGTATCAGTGGGAGCCAGGGAAGAACTAGGGAAGCTAAACTTCATGGGACTTGGCCAATATGTACCTTGGCAGTCCACCTCGTTTGGAGGTCAAGGTGCAAGGGGCTTTTGGAAGATACCACTGCAAGACAATGAATCACCACTTTTCTCTGACTGGCTATGCTGTCCTCCCTGGGCTTCTTGTTCTTGTGTGCTGCTAAGTGAATTTCTACTCACAGCAACCCTGTATGACAGAATGCCCCACTGGGTTTCTCAGGCTTTCATTTTTACAGGAGCAGATCACCAGGTTTTTTCTTCTGAGAAGCCTCTGGGTGGGTTTGTACAGCTGAGTGCTTAATCACTGTGCCACTAGTGCTCCATCCCACGTTAGGGAGGGGCTCAGTAGGTGAGCTGGCATGGGAGGAAATGGTTCTCTACCGATCATCTCCTACAGCGGCTGCAATCAATTTGGGACTTGCTACTAGTAATCCATCATTACATATAATGTGTCAGGTTGCAAAACATATTCTTTAAGAAATATTTATATTCCTTAAGAAGTTGGAATTAGAAATACCATTTAACCCAGCTATTCCATTACTAGGTTTATATCCTAAAGAAGCGAGAGCCATGACAAGAACAGACATATGCACACCAATGTTCATCGCAGCACTATTTACAATAGCCAAAAGATGGAAACAATCTAGATGTCCATCAACTGAGGAATGGATAACCAAACTATGGTACATACACACAATGGAATAGTTGTATAGTTGCAACCCTAAAGAATTATGTAGAATCTGCAAAACACTGCATAACATGGATGAACTTGGAGGACATTATGCTGAGTGAAATAACTCAATCACATAAGAACAAATACTGTATTAGTCCATTATTGTAAAAGTCAAAGAAAAGTTTATCTATGGAAGGAAATTTTCTTTGTTGGTTACCAGGGGTGGGAGGGTAGTGTAGGGAACACTGTTCGATAGGTAGAGATAAGTATTGATTTGGGTGAAGAGAAGGGCAATGTACCAAATGTGAGTGATCAATATGGTGGCATTGAGGAAGATGAAGACATAGAGAGGTAGATGGGAGGTACAGACAACAAAGATGAACACTTCTGCACATATAGTACAGCATTGTCAGTGAAGGCAAACATGGGTGTACAGGTAAGATGGGTGGACAGGCTGAACTATTAGATATGTCTATGAAGCGGGGAGTGTACCTAAGGCCACGGATAGCATTGGCAGACAATGATCCTATAAGTGTATTTGTATGATCTGAATTCCCAGGTGTATAGTAGAGCTGACAAGGGACAAAGTTGTATTCACTTCTTGATGACAGCCTGCTACCCAGAGGGATTGAGTAGTTGAACCTGTGGGCTCGCGACCATAGTCACAGGGGACATCAAGCTCAATTGGCATAACATACTACACAAAACACTGTTCCACCTCCTACTTTGGCAAGTGGCAACTGGGATTTTAAAAGCTTGCAAGCAGCCATCTAGATGCAATGATGGGTCTCTCCTCGCTCAGAAAAAAGTAGAATGACGAAAATCAAAGATTCATGGAAACAATTAGTCCTCGTGACTGGTACACCATGTGATCCTCAGCCTATATGACCATGAGACCAGAACTAGATGGTTCCCAGCTACCACTGTCAACCACTCAGAGGGGGATCTATGGAGGAGATCCTGGAAAAAGAGAGAGAACAATGTGGAATAAAACTCAAAATCATTTGGAAAAAAAAAAATAGGGGGGGCACCAGGTTTGCTCATCCGATAGAGCCTGGTGGAACCACTGAGACTATGGCCCCTAGCTGCCCGTCAGGTCTGAAATTGAATCCACACCTGTGGCTTCCAGCGAAACAAAAGACAGGCATATGAGTTGAACATTTACCTGAGGTAGATACTCTCCTGGGAGAGAACAATCATGGGAGAAAGAAAGGCTGCTTATGCACAGGGAGACAGCTCAGGGGGCAGGAGTGCAAGGAAGGATGGACACAGGGAAGAGGTAACTACTGGGAGGAAGTCGGGGGAAGCTGTTGCATTGTGGTGAACTGTAATCAATGTCATGAGACTAAGTATATGTGAACTGCTGTATGGAAAGTGAATTTGCTCTGTAAATTTTCACCCAAAACACAATAAAAAAAAAATCTATAAATTACAGCAGTTACCTGTATAGTAATGTCATTTTCACTGACCTGTTTTCCAGTGTACCTTCTTGAGTGGAAGAAAAAAGGTGGAGCTACAACCAGTGTATTACAAGGCCACCTATCTGATCTCACAGATGTTCCAATTACATAAGGGAGTAGAGTTCTGAGAAACTCTAGGTCTACCCCGGGGACCATACTGCACACACATTACGTGACATGTGAGTCACGGCAGAAAAGAAGCTGAGTCTTTCTGCAATCAGACATCTCCACCTATGTGCTGGAGGATCTCCTCTGACAGGAAACCCTTGTTCACATAATCTGCTTGAGTGGAGAAGATGGGGTGAGAGGAACACTAACTGGGGTCAGCATTTCATAGCTTGACATCCCCTGGGTCTAGAAAGGCTCTATCAGATGTAGGAAAGGGTACTGATTTACAGAAACCAGGCAGCCACCAGCAGAGAGGGCCTCTCATTCACACAGAGATGGTGTGGGCAGAACAGCGGTGATGCCTCCTGCTCTCAGTAAACCAGTCCCAGAGAGGGAGGTCCCATTACCTCTAAGTGGAAGGGAATGAGACGTCACTTACCAGCAAGATGAGCAGGATGCTGGGGCTGCTTCTGAGGATGAAGAATAGGGCTGCCAAGCTAGCAGGAAACATGGGCTGCCCAGCAGAGGGAACGCTGTCCAACTCCTCGTGGCTGATCTCCTCCCAAGAGAACCAGAGTTCCAGGACACGGTGCCCAAACCTACTCATCAGCTCTGGATATAACAGGAAGAACCTGAGCAGGTGAGGGTGGTGAGTGTAGACCAGTTGCAGGTCCAGGATGCCCTCTAGGAATTTTCTGATGGCACTGACCACAGCCTGGAGGCAATAGAAAGAAAGGTGTTAAATACACCTCTCAAAGGACCCAAGCGACCTCCCAAAACGGCCAGGATCCCACTGAGAAAAGTGTACTGGCACCTCAGCACTCCAGGACACTTTCACTGGCCAGCAAGGCCCTCCAGGGAGAACCAAAGACCACTGCGCTTACCTTGTGCCAGAAGTTCTCAACTAGGGGTAGTTAAGCCCTTCAGGGGACACTGGGCAATGTCTATAGACTGAGGAACTGCTACTGGCACATAGTTGGGAGAGGCCAGGGATGCTGCTAAACATCCTACAATGTACAGGACAGTCCTCACAGAAAAGAGTTATCCAGTCCAAAACGTTAACTGTGCCTAGGCTGCAAAATCCAGCATTATAAGGAAACTTACCACAGTGTGCTGCAATCGTTAGGGTATGTCTACCTTCCACATCAGACAGAAAGCTGCTTGAGGGCAGGAATCAGGGAGAATTAATCTGTGTACCTATCATAGGGCCTGGCACAGAATGGGTGATGGTGAGGTATGCTGAATCATTTAAGCCTCAGAACCTATTTCTTCCCACTGCACCACCAAACCAAAGCAAACCCATTGCCATCAAGTCGATTCTCACTCACACTGACCCCGTGTGTTACTGAGCTGAATTTTTAAATAGGATTTTCTTGTCTGTCATCCTTACAGAAGATGATTTCCAAGCCTTTCTTCTGAAGACTGAGATCTACCTTTCTGGCTCCTCTCCACTCTGTCTCCCATGTGACTTAGCCAAAGAACACTAAACTCTGCTGCCTTCCGAAGAGGGAGGAAGAGGCAGACAAGCGACACAGACTCTCTTCAACCAAGAAAAGAAAAAACAATTGACAGAGATACAGAAGATAATCCTGGAGCCCTGAGCTTTGAAAGGAACTATGCAGAAGTGGATTAGGCACCAACTAGTGGAAAAACCTGAACAACAACAATGACTACAGCGATGGTCGGAGCTGTGGACTGTCAGATACTCTGGCGAGACTAACAACCTGAATATTTCCAAATGGTATTGGGACCTGAGAATTGACCTAAAGATCAGTCCCAGTCACCAGAGGCTGCAGAGACAACTGGTCTGGTGGCCTATGACTAGGAAGGGAAACAGCAAGGAGGGAGACAACCTGAGCTGTGGACTTTCTGCTGCCCGGTGGGTGCAGCCATTTTGATTGTTTACACACAGCAGCCATTTCGGATATTTAAAGTGACCGAGGGTGCAGTCATTTTGAATATTTACAAGCGGTGGCCATTTTGGATTTTAAAGTGATAGCATTCTCATTCAGATTCCAGGGACCTAAGAACAGGCTCTGTTTGCAGGGTTGGCAAGGACATATGAGAGGCTGACAAAGACAAGGATACAGGTGGTGAGTGTGTAAGTGCTGCCAACTAGTGAATAGAGGAGCACAGCACAGTACCCTGCCTGTATAGACAACATACAAAGAAAATGAAAACTGTGGGCAAGTCTCACCAACATATAATCACCAATTAAATATAAACACAAAAACGTCACAATGCCTTGCAGACAACAGAGCATCACAGTCCACACAAAGAAGCAAGATAAAGTAGGAGAAACAAGGGACCAGGATACAGACCCAAAACACATCCCTGAGGAAGACAAAGCATTGGAACTCCCTGAAAAAGAATTCAAAAGATTATATTTAGCTTTCTTCAAAGGACTGAGAGACAGATTAAGGAAAACACAGACAAAACCCTAGAAGAATTTTGGAAGAAAATACAAGAAAAAAATGACAAAATAAATGAAAAATTAGAAATTATTCTAAATCTACAGATAGAAATCCAGAAGATTAATATTAAATTGTCAGAATAGGTAACACATTGAAAGGGCAAAGGAGTAGAACTGATGCAATGGAAAGCAGAATTAATGAGATTGAAGACAAGTACCTGAATACTTCTTTGGAAAGGGATCAATCAGAAGAAAGATCAAAACAAAATGAAGAAAGCCTAAGTTTCATGTGGGATACCATCAAAAGGAATAACCTACATGTCATTGGAATTTCAGAACAGGAAGAGAAAAATAAAACCACTGAGAAAATTGTCCAAGATTTGTTGGAGAACTTCCCTGATATGATGAAAGATGAGAATATATCCATTCAGGAAGTCCAACAAACCCCAAAAGAAAACCACCCAGACATATCATCATCAAACTCACCAAAACCAAAGACAAAGAAAAAATCATGAGAGCAGCATGGGAAAACAAAAAGTTACCTACAAGGGGCAACCAATAAGACTAAGCTCAGATTTCTCTACAGAAACCATTCACGCGAGGAGACAGTAGGATGGTATATATAAAACACTGAAAGAGAAAAATTTCCAGCCAAGAATTATGTACCCAGCAGAACTGTCCCTCAAATATGGTGGTGAAATTAGGACATTTCCAGATAAGCAGAAATTAAGGGAATTTGTTAAAACCAGACCAACCTTCCAAGAGATGCTAAAGGGAGCCCTTTGGACAGAGAAG